GGCTCGTTGCATCTGGACGACGACAGGAGGCGGTGTCCGTGAGCGAGGCGCCTTGCCGCATCGAGCGCGACACTTGGGCTTGGGCCAAGTCGACGGCGGAGAAGAGCACCACGCCCGACGAGCTGAGCATGATGCAAGAGTATTGTGAAATGAGTCTTGCTTGTCAGTTGGGTGTGAGTAGCGAGGGTGGTGCGCAGTCCAGTCGAGTGACTTGATCTATCGTTCGCGAGTAAACGTGATGGCCATCTTGGTATCTACGTTAGGAAGGAGAGAGTGGACAGGTCATCCAGAACGTGGATCCAACTGCGGGCGGAGATCGACCACCCATTTCTGCAACATGTGGTGGGCTGTAAGCCGTTGCTTGAAGCCCGCGGCACTAGGCTAACGGCAAGGATCCCACCGTGATCCCCTGCGCTTGAAGTATGGTCAGCACCTGTCCAGCGTCCTTTGGCGCATACAGGCGCTGCGGTGCTGGCCTCAATGCAAACAAACGGTCGTGTCCACAACTCTGCGACCCACGTCATCGTCTAATCGCGATGCACACCGACGACCGCAGTGTCCAAGTGACGGTGTCACCCAAGTTGCACGAAACCATGCGATCTCACCTTGGTTTGTGGGGCCCTCCGTGACGGCAGTGTAAAAATGTAGCTATTTGCGAGTTCGTACCGCGTCGAAAATCGCACGACGGAGACGTCCACTGGCTCGAGGATGGACTGCGCAGCCGCGGGAGCCTGGTCCACGATGCAAACACACACAAGGCGTGTCAACACAATGGCAAGTGCACGCGCCAGCGACTGTCTGGCTACTTGCTGTCGGGCCAGCGCGCGCGATAAAAAGACAAAAATCGAAGAAGGCGATGAAATGGATTCGGATGTCAAGCAGCAACGACAACGCGTCGATCACAGATAGCACCAAGCACGTTCGGACGCATCTATTGCGCAAGAGACGGGCAACCAACGTGGCTACGCGGAATCACCTTGGCGCGTGTTTGAGGCCTGAAGGTATGGCGATGGACCGTATCTCGCAGCGCGTTTGGGTGTACGTTGGGCAGACATGGGCGGGCGCGGACTCTCATGACAGCGCTTGTGGCCATTAGCGGTATGGTAGCATTGGTGGGCTCACTTGGCCATCCTTACCCCTCGCCTGTTGTTGGGTCTGGGGCTTTGCAGTCGTCGTGAGCAGCGAGTGGGCAATGCAAGCCCATCCTTGAGCATGCTGCGAAGCGCTGGGTGCGAAATGGTTGCCGATAGCTCCAGTGTACCGAACCACGGACATAGCCGACCAAGAACAGCGCTTCCTGGCGTTCGAACACTCGAAATACTGTAAGAGACGAACGAACAGCACCTCTTCAGAAATGCTTTGTGACTCTGCTGGAGGACGTAGCACGGCGAGCTTTGCGGTAACGTTAGCTCGGTCGTGCCGTAGGGTCGATCGACACAGCTTTTCACCTCCTGTGCCCTTCTTGGCGCAGCGGGAGCGGTGTATGGTCGCTTACGGGATGGGCAGCTTTGTTTATGCCTTGGGTGACCGTAAAGGATGCTGCTTCAAGTGGACGGCAGCGGCTGCGCGGTCCACATCAATTCTGCTTGGCGTTTGCTCTGAACGCAATCGCGCTGGCGAACGTACGCAGGCAGCGCCATCGCGTCCGTTCGTTCGCGTAGAGGCGGGTGCGAAATGCTGGACATTAAAGATCCACCGTCGCGCCGAGTTTCGCATCAAAATGCACTAGCACCAACTAGGTACTAGGTACAGGAAATGAGCAAAAACGAAGTAACGTCGCCACGAACGGGAACACTTTCAAGTGCTCTTATGTGGTTTCGGTAGTGTATGGACAACTTGCTTTCTCGCCCTTTAGCACTTAGCACCTAGGGGGTCGTACACTACCAATGGGTGTCAATGCCTTGGGTAGCACCTCTCAGCCAGCGCTAGCCACGCTGCGCGATCACGTTGCGTCGTGGGCGTCGGCAAAGTTGGCGTCCAAGCACTCGCATTTGCTGCGCTGTGCGACTCTTCACAAAACGTTTCGAGCAACAGGCGACAAGTCTGCGTTGTGGGATTGATACTATTCCCTTGTCGCTTGTTAAATATCAAGGATGTACGTCACCATCTACACAGAACAAGGTATGATCCGGCAGGATTTCGTCAGCTCGTAATACCTGGGATAGAAGAAAGCAGCACACAAACATAAATACAATCGACCAGCTCAGCGCGCACGACTCGGGCGTCTCGTCTTCGTCTTGGAGACCCGCGGGCCCAAAGACAGCGTCCCACGGAAAGGAAAGCGCTTGGAAAAAGACGACGCTGCCCCAGCTCACGCTGACGTCCGGCGTCGGCGACCGGCGACCGCTGCTCGCGCTGCGAACGACCGGTTTCGCCGCTGCGAGACGCGCGACGCGACGTTCTT